CTCTCTAAGATTCTAATGGTACACAACACTTGTATGTTATCTGTTAAGACCAGTGGTTTAAAAAACAGATCGGTGCTATGGATCAGGACCGGTGAATCGACGTTTCGAATAGGGAATTGGGCGGAATCGGCCATTTTTGTCTCAAAAAATCTTTAAAAAATTACTATAAATCTCTAAAAATAATGTTATTTTAATTTGTAAAAGAATTTAGGAGTGGTGCATTATGCATTTTCATTACTTTGTAAAGATAGGTGATTATTGAGATATTGTTTTTCTATCTGGATGTCTGTATAATTAAAATAAATAAATTAATAAATAAAATATAAGACTTAGTTATCATTGTAATTAATATAATTATTAATTACAATATTATAATAAACGTGATTCAAAAAACAAGGGTATGACCCTCACAAATAAATAAATCTAATATATAACAATTAGTTTGGATAGAAATATAGAATTTAGAAATATAAATTTACAATAATATTTTAATAAAATTAAAAAGTAAATAAATAAATTCATACTTACAATGTGAGGTAACTAGTTACAAACACTTCCATATTAGACGATTAAAAAAATTAATTTTCCACATAAATTAGTATCACATCAAAGTATCAAACATTTATTAATTTGTTTTACTTATCCAAAATTATTACAACTTAACTAACTATAGTAATATATATGGAAATTGAGGTTGTTAATTTATAAATTTATATTTTATAATTATTTTACTATAAAATAAAAATATAAAATGTCTAATATATCATCTAATTTAAAAAATATTATTTCCAATTATAAGAAAAAATAATATATTATAAAATTTATAATATAAATAAATTAATAGATAATATAGAAGATTTAGTTATTAATAAATTAAAAAATTTATATTTGCAACGTGGGATAATTGATAAAGCAACTTGAAATAAATTTTAAAGTGGTATGAGTTAGTGTTATTTTTCTCTCTTAAAATATCCTCTAAACTTTCTTTTTTTTAATATCCAATAGACTAGAAATGGTATTATTATTATTATTATCCTATGAGCTAGTAATAATTTTTTAATCCTAATTAACTAATTAATTAATTATTACTCATATAATGAAATAATCCCATGATATAATAGCTTAATAGAGTTTTTATGTTTTTTTGGTAAGTAAATTTAAATTTTTTTGGTGAAAGATAGGGGTGATGGGCACCCAATTATTATTTTTAATAAAAAAAAACTTAACGTCAAATTTAATTGCCACAATCGGACATACAACTTTCTTATTCATGATCAGCATACACCGCCGCGTGTACACCATCGTGCGTACACCATCTCACTACAATTTCTCCCAAGCTAATAATATTTGCCACCCTTTTTTAAACTCACAAATATGTCCCACATAGAACCCAACGATCTTGCTAAATGTTGCCTTGGCCACGTGAAAAGCGTAATGCACGCTAAAGGTTGATATTGGTTGTCACTTGCATGTGCAAAGCTTTTAAGCTAGCAACGCCAATTGGCGTGAAGGACAGCGGCAGACATGTAGAGAGGAGGCAAGCACTTCACGTGTGAAGAATGTCAATCATTTCAAAAAAGCCAGGAGTGCAAAAAGAAAGCTGGATTTAAAAAAAAAAAAAGAAATTGGAACCACCCTGTTTTACCGATACTAGATTTGGAGCGATGTCACCGATACCCGATCCAGATCGCCCGATTCCAGATCGGATCGGTGATTTTTGAAACACTGGTTAAGACATTTGTGATGCATGTCAAGCAACATTCACAATTCATGCATCCATATATAACCATGTATAAAACCAGCCCATTCAACAATAACCTGTAATAGTTTAAACATACATAATTGAAAATGCCCATATCATAGTTGTAATAAGAAAATGAAAATGTTGATAATTCATGCATTTCTTGTTTGCATAAAAAGATATAAACAAACCCACATCATAGTTGTATATCTTAGAAAAAATATATCAGATTGCATGAACCCATAACCATTATTCTTAAAAAAGAAAGGTAACAAAATGAGTAGGGTAGCTGCAGCACTCATAATTGGAGCTAAGTAAAACTCAAAAGCCCAAGAACAAAAATCACAAAAAAGTAAGCAAGACTATTCTCAATTCCAGTAAAATTCAGCATTTTATTCACAAATAGAAAGCAAGATTAGCACTATATCACAGAGAAAATAGTCAAAAACCCAAATACAAAAATAACCAAAAGTAATAAGACAATGAAATGTTGATAATTCATGCACATCTTGTGCATAAAAAGATATAAACAACCCACATCATAGTTGTATATCTTAAAAAAAATATATTAGATTTCATGAACCCATAAGCATTATTCAAAAAAAAAAAGGTAACAAAAAAAGCATGATAGCTACAGCATTCATAATTGGAGCAAAGTAAAATTCAACAAACCCAAACATAAAAAATAACAAAAAAGTAATACTCCTATAGTTATCTACTCATGAAAAAAACTCCCACACCATATGCATTGAGAAACTCTTGTAGTTTTTCAAAAAACATAAAAAATAGCCACAAGTTGCATTCATTTGCTGCTTTTTCAGGATTTTTATCTCTTTGTTTTGTTAACACTTTGCTCAAGTCATTGTTCGAACGACTCAAAAAACCACATTCCAAAAGTTGAAAAGCAAAAGAACGAATAGATAAACTCCAGTCAGAAAGGATCAAATCAAATAACCATAGATCAGTAACAAAAATATTAAATAAGAAGTAATTGAAATACCAAAACGGCTCAAATAACCAAGAACCAAGAAACACAAACCTCGTAGAAACCAATTAAAAATATATCAGGACGCCATCTTCCTGAAACCAATCACATATTTAAGGGAAATTATCGCTAATATACTTTAATTTTAAGAAAATCGCAAACTTCCCAAACCCCGCCCACACCTTTTTTTCCAATTTTTGGGATTTTTTGGATGAAAATACCTTTTACGGTAGTCTTTCTACCGTAATACATTTTGAATGTATTACGGTAGAAAGACTACCGTAATAGTATGAAGATACATTACGGTACTTCGAGTATTGTAATGAATATTACGGTAATTTAAATACCGTAAAGACTATTGCGGTACTTTAATTACCATAATACATAAATATATTCTTCATGGCATTCTTAGTACCGTAATGCTTTAAAAAGCTTCAAACCTAAGCTAATATCAATGCTACCCCTGTCCTCCTGTATACAATTCGAAAATCGAATTTGTTCCCATTTGGAAAGGTTTATGTTGAACCCCTGCCCTAGAGGAGACACAGCACTACCACCACCCTTGGCTGCCACAACATTGTTATTATGCGAAGACGGTGAGTCCTTGGTATCTCTTCTTCTGGCATCACCACCATCAATCCTCCCGCGGCAGCACTTGAGAAGGAG